TTTAGCCAAATATCAAGTTTGATTCTGATATGCATCTATAAGATCTTAGTGACTAGATCCTCTGAGTCAATCAATTTTAAATTTGTGTAAAAGACCTTTACTAGGTCTTCATAAATACTACCCGTTGAGGTTAGAAATCTATCCAACCCCTGAAAAGAAAAGTGACGTGTGGACATAATCTATCTATTACCTTTGACTAAATTATTTGTCTGTGGACATAATATGCGTACTATTTTTTTCATCTAACGTTCGTTATTAAAATAATGACTATGGTCCAATAAAGTAGGGAAATGAGGCAAGTTAGGAGGAGAGATTGGTGTAAGCTCATCTACTACCTTTTTCCCCCTGTTTTGTGTGACCCATGTGTTTGTCTCTTACCTCTTGATTTCTTAAAATATTTGACATATGTACACAAGAATATTTTATTTTAATTAATTATATCATATTATGAATAATGCTAATAATAAAGTTCTGGTTAAAAATTATTATTGTATTAATTTTATATGATCTAAATAAAAATTATATCTTAACATAAAATGAATTTTATTAACAAACAAAATACCCTCATCTCTTTAATGTCTTACTATAAACAATTTATAAAATACCAAAATAAAATGTATTCATAAATCTAAATTAAAGAGCAAGTTGGTAATTAATTATATTTTAATTAATTATTATTACTTAACAAAATTACCTCTCACATTTTTTGTATTTTTTGTATTTTAAAATTTAATGTCCTAATATAGAAAAATAAAATACCAAAATAAAATTTATTGTTAAATCTAAACTAAGTACAAATTTGGCAATTAATTATATTTTAATTAATTATTATCACTACAAAATATCAACTCTATTCTAATATAGACAATTTATAAAATATCAAAAATTATTAATTATTAAATTTAAATTAAACACCAATTTAACAATTATTTATACTATGATTTATTATTATTACTAATTATTCATAATCTATCATACTTTTGTTTTTCACTTTTAGATTGTAACAAATAAAAACTCAAAATTAACATTAACTTCAAATTGTAGATTAACTTAAAAGTATTTAATCTAACTTATAATTTATCAAATTTAACTGTTAATTTTTCATGTGTAACCATAAATTTCTTAAATACAAGTTAAAAGATTTTAAATTTAACTTAAAATGAACTCAATCTAAGTTTTAATTTTTAATATCTTACCACAAATTTTTTATATGAAACTTATAAGTTTTAAAATTTAACTTGAAATTTATCAAAGCAAACCTATAATCTCCAAAATCTAACCTCAAATTTTTGAAATCTAACTTAAAAATTAGCCGATGTAACAATTCCCTTCTTGCATTGCATCGGTGTATAAAGTAAAAATTAACACATAATTGAATATGGATCACTGCATAATCAGTTATGCAAAGCCCATATTTGATTATGCAGCACCTGATATTTGATTATAGGTCAAACATAATTGATTATCTCATGCCTATTAATCAATTATGAGCCAAAAATACTCTATTATGTCTTGTTACATAATCAAATATGGTCCTCTAATTCTCTCCCAATATTGCACTTAACCAATATACATGCAAAATATTCATGTTTATATCTATGGTTATGCAGTCCAACACAAATCAATGAGAAACTAGTTATTCAACAAAGTCATGATTGAACTTACTTATTTGGACTCCTAAGATTGTTGAAGATGTGGTAGGAGGTTTGGCTATAGTTTCCCCTCCTTTAGCTGAAACAACAACTGCACCTTCAAATACAACTAGAAGAACAACAAATGCAGCTGGAAGAACAACAACTAAAACTGCTCTTGTTTGATCCTTCCTTCACTTGGACGAAAGAACTTATTCAAACTAAAAATGGGTGATGGACATCACTACAAGAAAATCGCTTATTTCCGACGGATTTGTAGCCGTCGAAAAATTAGTTATTACCAACAGAAATTACCAACGAATATAAAATATTTGTGGAAATTGGTCTTACCGACGAATATATCTGTCGGTAAATCCGTTGGTAAATTAATATATCCATCGGTAAATCCATCGATAAATTAACAATTAATTACCGACGAATATATCTGTCGGTAAATTCGTCGATAAATTAATAATTACTTATTGATCGGATATATCCATCGGTAAAATTATATAATAATTACTTAATTTTAAATATATTCTAATAAATTAAATATTCACCTAATTAAAAAATTAAATATTTTTTCTATTTAATAAATTAAATTAATCATAATTAGATTAATTTATAATAATTTATTAAATTAAATAATTTTAAAAAATAAATATTTAATTATATATAAATATATAAAAATATCTAAATATATATAAATATATAAATGTATAAATATAAAATATATAAATATATTGTATTTATATATTTATTTGGATATACATTTATTTGTATATAAATATAATTTATTGTAAACTATAATCGAAAAATTCGGTAGCTTAGTGGTTGGAGTATCAGCCTTCAACTCTAAGATACAAATAAATAATTAAAAATATAAAAGAGGGGAAATAAATAATGAAAAAGAAAGAAAATAAATAATAATAATATAATATAAAGAAAGGGAAGGGGGTGTCTCTAGAAAAATAGGTTTTATAATAAATAAAAAATTTAATAAATAATAAAAATATTTCCGACGGAAAATCCGTCGGTAATATGTATTTACCGACAGATTTTCTTATTTACCGATGAATTTTATCGGTCGGTAATTTCGATTTTTCTTGTAATGCATGGAGGAAGAAGGGAACTGCAATCTTCACTTACGAGAATAAATGTATTTATGGACGAATAACCATTTCTTCAATAGATGATATTCAACTTGTGAATAGTACACCAATATTGTGTTCTAACGCGCATCTTGTAGCACAGTCTCGTGTTGCAAAGCGCAATGGGCAATTTGATAGTTAATTGCACATGATCTTTGATCTTTGTCACTTTGTCACAGAACAAAAATTAGGTCCATGTCCACCTATGCAAAACCATCACATAAAAGGAAGGATAAAATGATAATTTCACCTCAATTGTATATATTTCTTTGCATGAGGGTGTATCCATTGAAACTTTCTCCTCTCATTTTTTTTCCTAAATCTACTCAAATTAGATATAAACAGTTGCACCCTCTCTTTAATCTCCTTCCTCATTTCCTTAACTACAATACATCCATGGAAGCAAAGAAGGCTAAAAATAGTTTTCCTTGCTACTCTCTTATCATAGCTAGGAAAACTCAATATTAGTTAAATAATAATAATAATAATAATAATAATAATAATAATAATAATAATAATAATAATAATCTTGTACTAGTACTTGCTAATACTAAAGTATTAAATTATAATCACGAAAAATAAAATTCCTACTTGAGAAAACAAATCAAATCTTAAAGTCGTCTACGAAGCGGTCAAAATTGAGGTGTTTTTTGGGCCTTGGAAAACTTGACAGAGAAAAAAATGGTTTTATTTGCTACTCTTTTACTTGTTGGTGTTTTTTAAAAGAGAAATTCAGGCGTTGATATAGGAAACTATTCAACTCAAGCATAGTTGTTTTTCTCACGAAACATGCAGGCACAGTAGTATGATACTAGCGTGGAAGAAAGAAGAGGAAAAAACAAATTATACTAGATATTGAATAAGCCCCATAACGTTGAAAAATGATAAGTAATAGCGCAACTAGAAAATAATACAGCAAATAGAAATTAATTATTTGAATCTTAACATGGGAACCATTTTACACATAATTTGATTGTGTATACATGAATATATATATATATATATATATATATATATATATATATATATATATATATATGTGTGTGTGTGTGTGTGTGTAAAGTGTTACTCTCTTTGGGTGGCGTGACATCACTACATTTTATTTTTCTATTTTCGTTAAGCTGTGAAAAATAGAATAATAGAAAATTGATTGTGAATAATACAATAATGGAAAATTGATTTTGTATGAAACAACAAAACAATAGTAAAGAATCATTTACTAGCTATCTATAACATTATATTATTGCCTTTTTGCAGGGATTGACAAGTGTAACTATAGGGATTGGCTATTTTGAAACAAACAAAATAAATAAAAGGATGTTTGGTTTGAACTTTGAAAGAAGGGATCATTTGTTATCGAATAAGGTATAGTTGTTAGGAAAGATGAGTCGTTACGCATATTGTCACATGCAATTGAGTTGGCTATGTGGAAATGGGAAATAAACTACCAAGCTAGACATTCTCTTAAACTAAATGAACATTTAACATCCTCATTTGATTTGATTTGAAAGACAATATTAAAAGAAAAAAGTGTTGCATTACTTTAAGTATTTTAGAATATTTTCATTTAAGCAGTTTGTGTAATAAAGATTCTTATTGCTGATTAGTGAATATGACTTTATAAAATTTTGAAGAATAGCATCAAGATGAAATCTCTTTATTATGATATTGAAAATTAAAGAAAAATGTACTTTTTTATGTAATCTTGTGATCATTTTATTAACTAAAATTTTGATCGTCGTTGTATAAAGCTTCATTTGACATGATAAAATAAAAGATAAGCTTTTTCCATGTCAGTTCAAAAACTAAACTTCTTTGTGGTCTAGTAACATGCTTATTTGGTCGTGCACACCTACCATTCCTTTTTGTCGTTATTATAAAATTGATTCTAATAATATATAACAGCCTCATCCCTCTGCAGATTACAAAACACAACATGGATGCTTCACGCAACATATAATTAGCCTCCATTTTTAAAGCATTCTCAGAGTCAATGTCGCCTCCATCATCCTCTCTTTCACAACATATCATAGTTACTAAATCAAATGGCCAGACTGTCCATGAAACAGACCTTTGTTGTTACTCTCATCAATCATTCTCCAATTATATATTTTATGTCACTCGTGCTCAAGTGGGGTCATGTTGAGTATATATATAAGTGGATACATAACATCGATGTTGGAACCAAATCGAAGTAGCAAATACAAGAGTTAGTAATATGGAAACTCCTAATTTTGTCTTCTTCTCCTTGCTTCTTCTCTTGACTAGTTCCACTATAAGCTCAGCTCAACTTACTCGTGGTTTCTACAACAACGTATGCCCCAATGTGGAACAGTTGGTACGATCTGCTGTTGTACAGAATTTCCAACAGACTTTTGTGACTGCTCCTGCCACCCTTCGACTCTTCTTCCATGATTGCTTTGTGAGGGTGTGTACACCTTCTTCATCACTTCCATGGTTTTCTTAACTTACCATGCTTTGATTTCATATATCTCTCTAATTCTATCCTGCAATATTCATGTCCCGAAATGTTTAATTTTCAGTGTGAAGAGAGTGTCAAAATCTCACAATATAAGTGAGATGACCAAACTATTTATATGAACATACAAATAAAAGATAATTCTAACTTCATGAGCTAGCTTTGGAATTAAACTTAAATCATAAAAACTATAATGAAATTTTAGACTTTTAACTACTGACCTTTGTTTATATCGAATACTTTGAATGTAAAGTGTAAGAAATTTGGTTGTGCACACAGGGTTGTGATGCTTCGATTATGCTTGCAAACAGTAACGCAGAGAGGGATCACCCTGATGACATATCTCTAGCTGGGGATGGCTTTGACACAGTGATTAAAGCCAAGGAAGCTGTTGATAGAGACCCCAACTGCCGAAACAAAGTCTATTGTGCTGATATACTCGCTCTGGCTACTAGAGATGTTGTAAATTTGGTATGATTTCATTTTCTTTCTAATTGTATGTATATCTGTATCATTTTTATTCATTTGCTTGTGAAATTATTGACCAACAAGTTAACTCTACTACCATACAACCATGCATGCACATTCAGAATTATACATTGTTTGAAGTTGCATTTCTAATAGTAATAAGTGCATAATAATATTGTAGGCAGGGGGGCCACTTTATAACGTTGAATTGGGAAGGCGTGATGGTAGAATATCTACTATTGCCAGTGTTCAACGCCGTCTTCCTCACCCTGATTTCAATTTGGATCAACTCAATTCCATGTTCAACTCTAATGGCCTATCTCAGACAGATATGATTGCATTATCAGGTATATATTTTCTTCACTAACATATAAAAAATGAAGTAAGAATCTTAGATATATAATTTGATTTAACTTTTATACAAGAAAAGCGTGAAGAATAATGTGTTTTATTATGTTAGGTGCACACACAATTGGATTCTCTCACTGCAGCCGCTTCTCAAAACGAATCTACAACTTCAGCCCCAGAGATAGAATCGATCCAACACTAAATTTACAATATGCTTTTCAGCTTAGACAGATGTGCCCCTTAAAGGTTGATCCTAGAATTGCCATAAACATGGACCCTGTAACGCCTCAAAAGTTTGATAACCAATACTTCAAGAATCTGGTGGATGGAAAGGGTCTCTTCACCTCTGATCAGGTGCTGTTTACAGATGCAAGGTCAAAGGCCACAGTTAACTTGTTTGCATCAAATGAAGGAGATTTTCAGAATGCTTTTGTTGACGCAATTACCAAGTTGGGAAGGGTTGGGGTTCTAACTGGAAATCGCGGAGAAATTAGGTTGGATTGCACCAGGCCCAACTAGAAAAGTCCTACGTCACATCATCATCATCATCTTCATGGTTCCTTTTTCGAGATCTTATGAGCTTTTTCAGTCTACAACGGCACAAAATAAGGTTTGAGTCTTAAATATTGTAAAGTTACCCAATATTTTCATCACTGCACCCATTTTTTGGGTAGTGTTAGTTGACAAACAAATATCTAAATAAAGTACTATGTATATTATCAGTTGATGTATTTTACAATGAGTAGTACATGATCAATTTATAGGTCTTTGAATATGACCTCTCAACTACATGCATTTAATACAACTACTACCTTTCAAAACATTCAATATAACAACTATCTCTCAACTACATACATTCAATACAACTACTACCTCTTAATTATTATCTCTATAACTACTACCTCTCAACTACATGCATTTAATGTTTACCTAACAAAATCCCCCCATAAACTTAAATGTTTTTCTTGTCCTTCATTCCAAGCATCTTCTTGTTGTTCTCGAACAGAGTGGTTGGCAGTGGCTTCGTGAACATATCTGCAGCTTGTGCATCTGTGTTGAGCTGCTAAGGAAATCAGCAGCCTAATTGTTTCCATCCTCGTCATTGGGGCGAATACTTCATCATAGTTTATTCCTTCCTTCTGCTTGTACCCCTTCACTAAGAGTCAAACTTTATATCGCTCAACTTCTCCTTCAACATTTGTCTTCTTCTTGTACACCCACTTTACGCCGATAGGCCACGCTCCTTTGGGCAAATTAGTCAGCTCCCATGTGTTGTTGCGTTCTATTACCCCGATCTCCTCGTCCATTGCAGTTTTCCACCTTTTCTCCTGCACGGCCTCTTCAAAATTTAAGTCTTCTGAATCTGCCAAGAGACATACAACATGCACTTCGTCAGTGGAATTGTATATATCTTGTAAACTTCGCGCTCTGGGCTGTAGAGGTTCATCTTCTTCATTAGAAGTCTCATGATCTCTCACAGTATGTGGTGTATCAACTTCCGAGCTTCTACTTCCTATGGACTCTTTCTCCGGGTTGTTCCAGCTCCACTCGCTTTCTTCATCAATTTGAACATCTCGGCTCATGATAACATTCTTAGTTATTGGGTTAAACAACCTGTACGCCTTGGTTTTTTCATCATATCCAATAAACACGTATTTTTTGCTTCTATCTTCGAACTTGGTCCTCTGTTGAGCTGGAACATGACCATAAGCTATGCTACCGAACACTTTAAGGTGAGACACACTCGGTTTTCTTCCACTCCAGACTTCTTGCAGTGTCTTGTCGTTCAGCTTAGCATGTGGACATCTATTTTGCACATAGATGGCACATTGCACTGCTTCTGCCCAGAACTCCTTTGGCACGTTTTTGCTTCTCAACATTGTTCGAACCATGTCAAGAATGATTCGATTCTTCCTCTCGGCAACTCCGTTTTGTTGGGATGAGTATGGTGTTGTCAGAAATCTCCTTATCCCTTGCTCCTCGCAATACTTCATGAGTTCGAATGAAATGAACTCGCCTCCTCGATCAGACCTAACAGATTTGATAGGCATGTCAGTCTCTTTCTCAACCATTGCTTTAAATCTCTTGAACACCTCAAACACCTCAGATTTCTCCTTCAAAAAATATACCCAGGTTTTTCTTGAAAAATCATCTATAAAAGAAATGAAATACTTTTTTCCACTGAAAGACTCAGGGGTAATCGGTCCACAAAGATCTGTGTGAATCAATCTGAGTTGTTCCTTTGCACGGTACTCGGCCGTCCTCGAAAATGAGATTCTCGGATGCTTCCCGAGCACACATTCTTCACATAATTTCTTTTCAAATTCCATAGACGGGAGTCCTCGCACCATCTCTTTCTTTACCAACTCGGTCAGCCCGCCAAAATGCAAGTGGCCAAACCGAAAGTGTCACATCATTGTTTCATCCTTCACGTCAAGTTTCAAGCACCTCTCTTGGACCATCTTCAAGTCCAGCTTGTACATTCTGTTCTTCTTCATTTCTACTCGGACAATCAAACGACCCGACTTGTCCTTCAGGTATAGTACTCGGTCTTTCATCAGAACCGAGTAACCTTTCTCCATCAACTGGCTCATGCTCAATATGTTGCTTTTGAGATCGAGTACATAGTACACGTCTCTGATTTCTCCAACTCGGCTATTCTTCTGTAGGTACCAGATTGTACCTCTGCCTTTTACTGCCACCTTTGATGCATCTCCAAATGATACGTGTCCGGCCTCAACTTTAGTGAGCTCCTTAAAAAGGTTATCGTCCCCGCACATGTGGTTACTTGCTCCTGTATCAAGATACCAAACCGAGTTGTCAGAACAGCTTGGACTTAGCTCGACATCCGAACTTCTCGACATCATCAATACTCCTTCTTCCTCAGTGTCCTCAAAGAGGAGGTTTGTCTCCTTCTTCCTCTCAGATCGGCAGTCCTTCGCGAAATGTCCAACCTTCCCACAATTATAACATTTGATACCTGAATAGCAGTCCTTAGCAAAATGACCGTACTTCCCACATTTGAAGCACTCAACTCCAAAATTGCTTGACTGACCACCTCGGCCTCTACCGTCACGACCTCTACCTTGTCTTCGGCCACACCAGTTTTGTTGACTGACTTGCTCCTTGCCTCTTTCATATTCTCCTCTACCACCTCGGCCTTGAGTGTTCTGAGCATAAGGAACCTTCTTCTCCTTTAAGGTTGCTTTTGCTTGGAGTGCTTGATCAAGGGACTCTTCTTTCTTCTTCCTTCTCCACTGCTCATGCGCTTCAAGCGACCTAGCAAGCTCTTCCATCGAGAGCACCGACAAGTCATTGGACTCTTCTATTGCATAAACGATATTCTCAAAGTCGTCAGTTAACGACCTTAAGATTTTCTCCACCACTCGACAAGTGGGTAGCGTCTCTCCATTTCTTCCGAGTTGATTCACCACGGTCTCAACACGGGAGATGTACTCGGTAACCCCTTCGACCTCTTTCGTCCTCATGCTTTCAAGCTCGCCTCTAAGAGTTTGAAGCCTGACTTGCTTCACGCGATTATCCCCTTTATTTTCCTTCTCTAGAATATCCCACGCTTCTTTTGAAGATTTAGCATTTGCTATCTTCTCAAAGCCGGACTCATTAACAGCTCGGTACAGTACGTACAAAGCCGCTTTGTCCTTTACTCGTGTTGCTCTCAATGCAACAAGCTGAGCAATCGTCCGCTCTTCAATATTCTCTGGTTCTTGGTGCCCATTTTCGACCACATCCCATACTTCTTGGGAACCAAGGAGAGCCTTCATTTGCAGGCTCCAGATATCATAGTTTACGCCTTTTGATAACTTTGGCAGGGGCATGCTGTTAGTTAAGTTGGTCATCTCGAACAAACTCTCTAACTCTCAAACACTCTCTCTAACGCACTCAGACACTCAGGCTCTCAAGCTCTAATGTCAATTTGTTGACAAACAAGTATCTAAATAAATTACTTTGTATATTATCACTTGATGTATTTTGCAATAAGTAGTACATGATCAATTTATAGGTCTTTGGATATGGCCTCTCAACTACATGCATTTAATACAACTAATATCTTTCAACTACATACATTCAATATAACCACTATCTCTCAACTACATACATTCAATACAACTACTACCTCTATAACCACTATCTCTCAATTACATGCATGATAATTCATTATTATTATTATTATTATTATTATTATTATTATTATTATTATTATTATTATTATTATTATTAATGGACGGAGTTCCATTAGTTGCTCCAATTTACATTATCATTTCATCATTAATGCATAATTTTTTAGAAAATAAAAATATCGAGTAAATTCTTTTTTATTTCTTCTTTTCAATAAAAAAAAAAAAAGCATCCCCCTAAATTTGATTCATATTTTGATATATTTGTTCTAGATTAAAAAAGAAATGTGATTATGGTATGAAATAATTAATGATTTTTTTTAATTTTTTTTAAGTTTAATTTATGTATATTTACAATCTGAAAAAATATATTTTTTTTAAAGGAACTTATTTTTATGAAAAAAAATGTTTTAAATAACTTTTGATTACGATTTCTGATTTTTCATTATAGCAAACAAAACATAATATATATATATATATATATATATATATATATATATATATATATATATATATATTAGTTTTCATTGTAACTTTTGATTATGATTTCTGATTTCTGGTTTATATTATTGTTTTAATATTTTTTTTATAAGGAATTATTGTTTTAATTTTGTCAGTGTTCACAAAATCTTATCATTTAATTTTGTTGGTGTTGCTGTCCAAAAAAATTGTTAGTGTCATATTGTTCACCAAAAAAAGTCCAGAAATAAAATAAAATGAAAATTAATACGAAGCCCATTCTATGATTAATAACTAGGAATATATTTTTATGATTCCATGTTGCATATGATTTTATTTGTTTTGATCATAAGAAAGTAATTAACAAAATATTTTGTATATTATATTAGTATATATTAATTTATGTAACCCAACGTTAGATTAATATGAATATAATTAAATTTGATTTTGTAAAACAATTTTTTAACTTTTTTTTCTCACAGACTTTTCCTTTTTTGTTTCTTTTTTTTTAAGCTTGAGTTCATAGATAGAAATAAATAAATTGAAATAAGAGATGCCATCGATGAGTTAAGTTCTTTAATAAAAATGAATATGAGAAAATTAGATTAGTATGATAAACTTGGATTCGTCAACGTCAAAAATAAGTTAGTCGAGTTAGTTCGTTGACCTATCAATTTTTTTAAATATATATATTTATATATATTAAAAACATAATTAATTATATAAAAAAATTTAAATATTAATTGGATAATTGAAACTTAATTTATAAGTATTTATTATTTAAATTATAACAATACAAAAATTATAATTTTTTGAATTATAATTTTTTTATTTTAATTTTAACATTTTCTAAATAATAATGTATGAGATTCTTGAGTTAGAAAATAAGATTAGTTTGCCATGGTTACTAGATAATAATATTAC